CCAGTGGAGGTTCCCACAAATTGACCTGCCTACTTAAACATGAATTTATATGGAAAATAAGGTTTAAAAGCAAGCAAATCTTGAACATATGGCATCTTATTTACAGTAAGAAAAAAATAAACTGAAATTGTTGCTGGCATGTGTTTTACCCATCCAGCAAAAGTCTCTCTCACTTGTAAATGGAGACTGTTATATCAGAGAAATGATCTGTTTCCTTCTGCAAACACAGATCAGCTTGGTTTCACTAACTGTTTTCACTGGGATGCATCAGTCAGGTCAAATTATTTTAAAAGACTGTTCTTACCTCTTCCTACAGAAATGCATGTGTGATGGTAATACATGCAGCTTCAAAGCCTTTTCTTTCCCAATGTGCAGTGCTCATAGCGCCTCGATTCCTGCCTTCCTGCCAGAATGCATCAGATGCGGACGGTCCCAAAGCTGGTGGGGCTGAGGCAGGGGCCCTGCCGTGGGAGCCGAATCAATATTTAGACAGCTTCAGGCAACAGAGATTGTGCTGGCTTTCACACTTGGCAGCAAGCTTTGCATCCGTTTGTTACCAAAGTTATTGTTTGTGCATTTTCAAGCATTGGCACTTGAGAGATTTCTCCCTGAGGGCAATGACAAGCACCGGGTGCTTGAAAAGAAACTTTCTCCCCCTGGATCTGAAGATTGTGAGAGTGAGGAAAGTTGTGTAACCGGGTAAGATCTCGTAAGGAAGTCAAGGCACATGTTTGACGGGCGTTTTCATCATCCTTCACTTGAGGCATCTGCCGGGCACCGTGGGGAGCCCACGGCACAGTCTTGGGCTTTGCTTCTGATACATCCAGCGCAGAACAGCTGTAACAGCTGTCTTGCTGCTGTTTGTTATCGCGGTGGTTTATTGGGAGCGAAAACCTGAGTCAGCGTGGGTGACAGCCTTGCTGTGGGGTGGTATGAGTCAGCCCGAGGCTCTGCAGCGTGCCTGCGCTGGGGCGACAGGCAGGCAGGTGAAACCCTGCCCGGCCAAGAAAATTATTTTAATTTGCTTTCCAGTCATTCCACCTAGTGGCCAAGTGACACAACTGCCAGGAGAGCTGGGTTGGTGCTCCAGAGTCCCTCCTCATCAAAAGGGACCCAGAAACCCTAGATGGTATTTATGGTTGCTCCTACGAACCTATGCTGCTGTGGAGCTTAAAAGTTCTGTAGGGATATTTAAACCCCCACACTGAAGATCTTCTCAAAGAGAAACATTGGCCTGCGAGTAGCTCATTAAGTTCCCGAGCAATTTTGTTAATCATGCTGCATAGATAAAATGCAGATAGGCCTTTAGTGAGCTGATAATCAAACAAATAGGCAGAAAGTGTAACACTGATAAAGCAGAGATCAGTTTAATAGCCAGCTGTAAATCTAGGCAATTCTGTACAAGAGGTGTACTGTAAAACAGGAATGTGCAAGTGTGTAAGTATGTGCATGAAAATGCACTGTTTCTTAAAATAGCAGATACAGCAGTAATATTATGTATGGAAAAGCTATTGGGGCCAATTTTAGAGGTGTTTTAAAATATTTTTCTCTCCATCAAAGTCTGCACCACTTGTGGTATCTTTATAATCCAGCATCACAAGTGCAGATCTATGAATAACAAAGGCTTGCTTCTGGAAGTCAGATTTTTCTATAAAAATCTGTGAGCTCTACCACTGGTCCTGAGGCAGTGTAGGGAATTTATAAGCTTTTCATTGGGATGAACCAAATTATTCACTCAGATTTATGCTAATCACAAATAAGACAATCAATCACAAATTCATGGCCTGATGTCTCACCGACCTCTTGACTGGCTTCTTGCTCAGTGGTGTTAATTCAATTGGAAGGACAGGGAAAAGCAGCTCACTTTTAGGGTATCCCATACCTACTGGATAGGATATCCTTCTGAGGAGCTGAGAAATGTGAGTTTGAAACCCCACAGCCTGGGGAAGGGACCTGGTCTCCTACTTTCTAGGTCCCTTTTTTTGTTCTTTAGACTGTTTTATGAAAAGGAGGCAGCAGTGCTTCCTCTTCTTGTTTGCTTTAAAAGAAGAAACTGACCTGGGAACACCTACCAGAGACAGCTACAGCCAGGAGATTGCAGGCTGTGCATCCTAATCTCACACAGGCGTGCAGGTGTTTGGGTGCTCTGAATCCCATCTAGATGCCTTTCCTTGGTAGGCAAAGCACAGAGAACTCAGATTTGCCCTTGGCAAGCAAGGCAAAAAGGTGTCTTGGTGAATTGAGACTGAAGTGATTTGCCAGGATCGTGTAGTTGGTGTTTGGTGCAGCAGGAAATTGAGTTGTGGTCTCCCAAGTCTCAACTTTGTGGCCAAAGCACTGAATCTCCTTCTTGTGAAGAAACCTTTAGTATTGATGGTGCGCCCTGGTTTTGAAGCAGACTCTCACAGCTTCATGAAGAATAGAGGTTTTTCCAGTACCTTTGTGTCCTGC